ATGCAGTCCACTGCATACACTCCACTTTGTCGTAACACTTCCGTGTCTGCAACTCTGTCGCCACAAGTGATGCGCAAAATCCGTCGCAAGCACTGCTGACGGAACCGCTGGAGATATCGCACATCCCGACGGTACATCGTCCACGTTTCACTGCCGTATAGAAGAACGGACAGCACCATGGATTTGTCACCATCAGCTTTGTGCCAACGGTAAGCTGATGGTTGTTCCACACTCGGTACTCTAACTTCCCGAATGCCGCCGCTGCGGCATTCGACACGCCCTTTGACCCGCGGATATGAAGCTCACTGTGTATCTGCTGATCAGTCGACATCACACTCCCAAGGTAGCAGAAGCGGGAGGTGGTTTCCAATACTTCAGCACCAATGCTGTTTCGCTGCAATATTGAAGATTGAACCTCCGGTGAAGGCTGAAAGAGACAGACAGTTTTGCTTGTGTTGCTGATGAACCCGAAGTTGGCCGCTGTCGAAGCCAGAGCACTAGTCATATGTTGCAACCCATCCGCACAGTCGTCAGCAAACAGCAACATACGGATAGTTGTCTCACAGACTAGAGTTCTCGCACCGAAACGACGAATGTTCAGCAACCAACCATCAATATGGTGCTCCACACGAACACCGTAAGCACAAGCGGCATCAAAAGCACAAGACATCATGGCATGAAGATATAAATTAAACAGGGCAGGAGCTAAGGCACAGCCTTGCTTCACACCAGAGACAACTGCAAAGTCATCCAAGGTCTCTCCACTCAGCTGCACCCTCGCTCGCATACCACTGTGCAGACATTCAATTAAACTTACAAACTTACGCGGGCAACCAAACTTACCCAACACCAGCCACAATGCCTCGCGGTTCACCGTATCAAATGCCTTGATGAAATTAACAAAAAGCGAGTACAGTGGCTGGTTTCGTTCTCTGCACTTCTCTTGCAACTGACGAGCCGCAAACACCATATCTATAGTGCTGCGACCCGAGCGGAATTAGCATTGCTCTTCCGCCACGTTTGTTTCCACAACCTGACTGACGAGGTGGTTGAACAGGATTCGGGCAATCACCTTGCTTATACAATTCACCAAGTTGATGCCACGATAATTCGTGCAACATTGCTTGCTCCCTTTGCTCTTGTACAATGGTACCACAAGGGCATCCTTTAGCTCAGGAGGCACCTCCTCTTCAATCCATATACATTGCACCAAGTGGTGCAGCGCAGTCAACAACGCGGGTCCACCGTGTTTGAATACTTCAGGCGGGATCCCGTCGGCTCCAGCACATTTGCGTTTCGCAGCTGAGCAAGTGCTCTCTGTGTCTCGTCCAGTGTCGGCGTATCCGCTAGATTCGTCTTCACATCGCGCTGCTTGTGGCCGTTCAATGTAGGCCAGTCGATCTCTGAACGGTTGTTCAAGAGACAGTCAAAGTGCTTTTTCCAGTCTGTGTGCAAGTAGCGCCTGAACTACCATCGATCAGCATCCTCAACGGCTCCAATCTCGGTCCATACACCGCCTTCAAGGAGTCAAAGAATTCCTTGTGTTGGCGGCGTTCGGCGTAGCATTTCATTTGCTTCGCCTTCTCCGTCCACCATGCGTTTTTTATACGACGGAGCTCTCGGGTCAGTCGCCGTCGAAGTTTGTGAAATTGACTACTCTGCCCCAAGTCACTGGGGTCTGCAACATGTGCAGTAAATGCTGCATTCTTCTCCGACACTAATGCGCCAATCCTCTCATTGTTGTCATCAAACCAATCAGGCCACTTACAGTTTGCGCGCGATGGTCTCATTAGCAGCAGCTGTCGCCTGGTCGCGAATGTAGTGCCACAGGTCACCCACTGTGGCTATTCATTCCTCATCACACAGGCTTGCAGCCATCGCCTTCTCCAGCTCAGTACGTTTCGCCACAGTACCGAGGGAGAGAATGTTAAATTTACGCCGATTCACGGCGGCAGTGCAATACATTGATTTAGGAAAATATATGTACAGTTTTGTCCGTACCAATTTGTGATCATTGCCACACTCAGCTTGACGCAGTACACGTGTCATGCGCACTTCACGCATATCACGCTGACGTACAATGACATAGTCGAGCAGGTGAGCGTGACCACTCCGTGGGTGCGTCCAAGTTGCTATATCACTCGCGCTCAGTGCAAACCGAGTGTTCGTGATCGTCAGGCCGTGAGTGGCACACTGTGAGAGCAGCCTGTCACCGTTCGCATTCGCTGAACCAATGCCATGCGAGCCGATAACATCTGTCCACACTGATGCATCACGCCCAACGCGCGCGTTGAAATCACCCAGCAGAAATAGTCGGTCGCTCCTCGGCACAGACCGTATCACGGAGGGAAGCTGAGTGTAGAATTGATCTCGCATGTCATCAGGATAACACATGATCGGGCCGTACGTGCTTATAAAAGTGGCAAACTTACCTCTTCCGAGTCGTAGGGGAAAGTCATCAGTCGCGCGCTGATGCCTGTTCGTTCACTTACCAGCTGGCCATGGAGGCGATCGGATATTGCAAATCCGATCCCATGATCACTTAGTGCTGAGGCGGCGTTGCCCACCCAGTAGCATGTGTAGCCAGCACCTGGTTCATGCAACTTACCTTGCTCAGCGAGCCGAGTTTCACTGAGCGCCGCAATATCGATGTGATAGCGCGTCAGTTCCTTCGGGACGAGTGCAGTGCGTCGCTCGGGGCGCTCACTTGAGTTCCGGTCCAGTACTGTGCGCACGTTCCAGCACCCGATGCTGAGTGTTTTGCGCGCAGGCATACGGTTGCATTGGTGGACAATCGTGCGCGAGATGGTCGTTGTGCTTCGGAGGTTTGCTTGAGAGACTCCACCCGGAGCCTTTGGCTCAATAGCCTGACCCACAAGGCAGTGGGGAGCAGATCCAGCTCTTGAATATGATTGCATATATATATATATATATATATATATATATATATATATATATATATATATATATATATATATACGGAGTATATCGTACGAGGATCGGTGTAGGAGGCCAGGGCTGTATACCCTGTCATACTGTCGGCTTCGAGTTGATCTCATAATGACGCACCCTGTATTGTACCTGGGCCACTTCCCTATGTTGTGGCCGCTGCTGAACGTTCGCACACCAAGCAGCACACGCGGACACCGATACAAACTATTGGTACCGGATTTAAAGCACATTGCTCACACTTTTCTAGCATCCATTAGTAAAATATTGGAACGCATTCCCGGAGACGCTAGTCGAGGCGAAATCGGTGTCGGAACCTAAGAGATTCATTGACGCCCACTTTGCAGACTACAGGTATAGGTAGGGTATCGCACCCGGGTAAGATGTACTGCAGCTGCGACATGCTGCCACCGCGCAGGAATCGGCGACGTGATTCCGCACGTGTGCCCGATCCACCTACGATGGAGCAACACAGCTTTTTATCTTCTCGCTCTCTATTCTCAGTATTCAACACATTTCCTGGTGCTATACATTCACACGTCCATAGTACCTACTTGAAATATGCAGAGAAAACGTTCCGTTATTAAATCGTGCGACATTCTTTGTTGATATTTCTGCTATATGTTGCCTCGGCAACTAGTTGTTTCAATTATTCAGCTCAAGTTGTTGATCCAAAAGCTTATACACAAACGAAGCGAAGACTTGGAGAAAGCTCATATTATGTGCTGTTCACATAAAAATTTCCATAAACCTAATTCCACTCCCTAACTTCTGTGGACAGAGTGACATCACTGACCAGTCCGGCGGGAGTCGCTTAGGGGATGACAACGAACAAAACCCGTTGTATTTATGGCTTAATATGCTTAGTTACTGAGTCCCTCAGTGCCATTGTCACTTTTCGTTTATTGCGCAGGTATTTTGCGTTCCCTTCCAACTGATCTCTGCGTTTTTGGCAGTTGTGTAGGAAATGATTTGGGTCAGTTCCAAAGGAGATTTTTCACTACTGAAATCTTTCAGCGTGACCGTCTAATTGAGTGTAATCGTAACCATTGCCATCAATCCAACCCCATAAATCCACCGCTCGGTGACATTTGGTCATTGCTCAAACCGGCCCATAATGCTAACTGTCGATGTCGGCCCGAACCGGGACGTTGTGTCTCTGGCGTTCAACTATGAAAGTGCTCATAACGGTGGAGGGCCCAATTCACAACTTGGTCACAGTAGCCTTCGCCATTTTCTATGGTCCACTGATCTTGATCACCATCACGTAGGTAGAGAAATTTGCAGGTATTCGCCCCTCACCGGATAAATGGAATACGGGTTGCTGACGAATTCCCAAGAGACGAAATGCCGATCCTCAGAATGCACACTAGCTGTCTAGTCAAATGCAGCTGTGCCCAATTTCCTCTAGATTTGTAACAAATTGAAACTATGTTTTTCGCTGTCTTCATCTTTGATGAGCCTGAATTTCCGAACTGTTTTTCGATTACTCTTTACTTTCCCATAGCTACGTTCGATCATATTCCTCTCTTTCCCTTAGAGATAGTCAAGTGTATTTTACTAGATATCTACCATGCGCATTCAGCATAAATTCATGGTCCACGAAAGTAACCGGCATTTCGGCTGAACAAGTGCGAATTTAGCTTTTACCTCTTTTACTCCTCTTTGTAAGCCACAGCTATGTGCCTAAGGGAATTCACCTTCCCGCCAAGGGCAGTTTGCCAAGGGTCTACCTATTGTACGCTTTGCAAGAGACTTGTCGCTTCTACATCACTGTTGTCGAAGAACGCTCTTTTAGATCTACTCTTTACTCACGATCTCAGCTGATAGCGTTGTCATTCTACCGAGACGGTGGTCTGTTGCCGCTGACCTTGTTAGACTTGATAACAAATCCCAGGGCTCATTAGTATTGGTATCTTGAAGTTCGAACAATGTGAATTGAGATCCACTCTTAAACCTTTCGATCTAGTCCACTGGTTGATTCTACTGTCATGACAATAACTTTTGAATTCATACCCTCAGTGCTTTACGCTCACTTGTCCCCGTTGCAGTTAACGGACCCTCATGCCGTGGCCTGTTCGATTTCGAAGCTGAGAATGATTCCGAACTGGCCTTCTCCGAAGGAGACGTCATCCGGCTCATACAACAGGTGGATGAAAACTGGTTCGAGGGTGAACTGAACGGCCGCCGCGGTTACTTCCCAATCAACTACGTCGAAGTAATCAATCCACTCCCTTAGGTTCTCTCAGCCACGGAGACTGTCATGTGTGTTATTTGAAGTTACTCTTGCCTGCTTGTTTTTAGACCGAGCTGATGTTCCGCATCGGAAAGTTCATTTACCATGCTATCAAACAAACATTCCCCTCTCCACAGTTCACTGGTGCTTCACATTTTATCATATCTTCAACCCTGGTTAATAGTCGTTATTTTTATTTGTTGTCGTTCCTTTTCTTCCGCAAATGTCATACTCAGAATACAGAACTCCATATCTTTCGTTTACCTAGCCGAGCGTTCGTTTACAACTGGCCATCTTTGTTCCGACTGCATCCGCTGCATTTGTCCACCACTTTAGCGTAATGGTGTAAGAGAACCATTTATTCGACAGTGCAATCTTTTCCTACACTTACTTTAGTTTTTTGACTTATTTTGTTGTTTCCACACACACACACACACACACACACAGGTGTCTCACAGCTTATTTACTGCCGATCTCATGTACTCCAACCGCTTAGCCAACTTTCTTGCTCCGTTGTTTTTCAGACAGTCAATGGTCACCTACTCTTCTATATTCATTCCATCTTCTCAGCTTTAGGAGCATCTCTCCTCTGATTCCACTCTATTTTCTGTTAAAATGTATGTGATATATTGTGATTACTGTCTCTTTCTACATTTGCTGGTCAGCTACATAAGACATCATTAAAGCGGGGACTATGTTACGCATAAATGAAGTTTCGAGACTTCAGCAGCTTCTAAGCATTGCACTCTATGACCGGCTTTCTATTTCGTGATTTCTTTTGATGAAATTTGCAGCTGCAGCGTTTGTTGCCAGTGGCTCAGATTGTAGTGTGATTACTTATGGTTCTGGAAGCTCTCTGTGGTTTACAAGAAAAAGCCAGACGTTTGGGTGTATTACATGGTATCGACGAAGGCACTGGTAGAAGTGTTCTTAAACTGAAGCATCTGGATCATGTTTAAACGACGTGTTGGCATTACACTCAACTCCAAGTGGTACTTGATGCATCCGGACTTAAATAGGCGGAAGCTGAAATATTGCGAAGTGTTCAGTAAGCTTCATTTGTACTTGAGATTCAAGCACTAAAAGGAAATCAAATTAAGGACTTGATAATATGCTTTCTGCGTTCTTCTGGCTCGCTAGAAAAGCTTGGTACATTCATGCGTAACGACCTTCTAAGGGTAGTTGGAGGCTTGAATTGGGCCCCAGTGTTATACCTCATCAAACACCCACTTCCGCTCCTGCACACATATCCTATCCAGATCGACTGCTTAGATTGGGTGTTTTGTCGTCGCACTATGGACGACATAGTGAGGACCTGGTACTGAACTATCGCATCTTCACTGGTCCACTTGGCCCATATTAATGTCATTTTTTCCACTCAACGGGATTACCAACCCTCCGCGTTCATCCAAGGTAGCTGCATAAGGGTCGGTCTGATCGGGTTGTGGTTGACGACTGGTTATAACGTATTGCCCGCTTGAAATGACCTGCCCGAAATACGTTGTGTTGGCACGCACGGGAAAAGAGTTGGAACATCACATTTGCTATAACCTCTCTTGCCGATTTCATCACTCTCCATTTTTACTGCCTAGATTATGTTATGTGTTATTTTTTCCTTCAGTTTCCTTTCGCCTCCTTCCACTACGTTTTGTTTCTACTTCACATGATCGGCTCAGTGTGGACAACTAGTACAGTGCACGTGTGCATCGATCGATTGACTATGGTGTGATGCGCGCGTGTCGATTTGACATTCTTAAATAATAGGTCGATTCGCACAGACCTATCTTGGATCAATGATACTTTTAAATTGGAACATTCGAGGGATTCTCCAGTTGTTCCCATCCCATTGTTAGATGGACTCACGCATGATATTCGCTCAGTCAGTTTGCATTCGTTACTTGTGTCCTTTCACTTGATTGGTTGATTCATCTTTGTGTATTCTGTTTGCTCACGCGCCAGATTTCATGACAGCTAGTCCTCACGCGTTTCGTACTTGTTTCCGTTTTAAGTGGGTTGCGGTTAGCAATACAGGCGTCATAATTAGATTCGCGGCCTAGGTATCACTAAATTCCAATTTGCAAACTGCGGCATTCACTTCGGAAAATTTTCAAGAAATCCTGTCGAGGCAGCAAGAACAGTTCGAGGCATCACAGTTACGTTTTCTTGAAGCATTGACAACACGAATGTCGTCACAGTCTGCACCTATAGTCACAGCGATTTCCACCGCAGACAAGCTGGCGCACAGTATAACAGAATTCGATTACCACCGGGATAATGATCTCACTTTCGAAGCTTGGTTCCGCTGCTCTGGAGACTTGTTGTAAATTGGTGGAAAGGTGCTAGACGACGCAGCTCAGGTACGTCTTCTTTTGAAGAAATTGGACCCACAATAGTATGAAAAGCGCTCTAATTGCCTTCTACCCAGTAACCCGCAAGATGTATCATTAGCGGAAACTGTGAAGCGCTTGACCAGGACTTGCGGCAGAAGTCCATTTATACAAAAACATAAGCAACATACATAACTGCAATTTTGGGGTATGCGTTACAGGGTGGATGGTTGCGAAAAATGCCTAGTTTTAAAAACATTGATGTTTAGATATTTTTGGGCCTTTTTAGAATATCTCATGGAGGGATATTTCACATGTAAATCTAGTGATTATGGTATTCAGCTCAAGATAATTGGGGAGTCTACTCCCAAATGTGGCCACATTATCATATGGCCTAACTGTGATTGGTAGTTTATTCCACAGATTACTATCTCAGACCAGGAAGAAATTTGAGCGAACCTTCATCCAAACCTTCGGTATATTTAGTGTAAAGTCTTTATTGCGAGCTGTCGAGTTGAGCTAAGCTGTAGTTCGAGTGTAAGCAGGTAATTTTGTGTAGCAGGTGGAAAAGCAGCAACAAGTTCTGCTTCTTACATCGAATCTAAAGGTTTCGAGTTGAAGTTCATTGCAACGTTCTCGTTGACTTGTAGCACAGTGCTTACGTTTGGAGGCGACCCACAACAATTTTGTCATATTACCGTATACGATACTGCAGTATTCGAGGATGGGACGGGTGAGTATCTTAAAAAGCTCAACTCTAGCGTGGGTAGTGCCGATTTTGTTTGTTATCTTACACATAGATTGGTTGACACTTGCTACTTGTCATTTGGCCTGTTCGGAGAATTTGAGGGTAGACGCGTACCTATGTGGCACACTACTGATGAGTAGTATGATGAAACGCACGGGCTCGTTGAACTTCATCGTCATCATCAACAGCAGTACATCACCCATTTGAACTGATGCTTCGCTGACATACAACCATGATAATCTATAGAATAAAAAAATAAGAAGGAGAGAAGGGATACTTACCTGGAAACCTTAATGCTCTAAGCAAACATTCTGGGTCAAGGCGCCTACACCTTGTGTAGACACCATATCGTCACAAACAGCTGGCTATCGTGCAATGATAAGGCGGCATCGGCGAGACAGCTTCCTTGCGGCTTTCACTGTCACGCGTCATAATCAGCCATTACCCCGCAGATAACGCAGCACCAAACACACTTTAAACAGGCAATCCGATTAGAAAACGGCAGCAGACGCGCCACTAGTGTCGGTTGCGACCCATGTCCTGTAAAGTCTCGAGCCAAGTACAAGGTGAGTCACGTGGACTCCAGCCCGGAAGGCGAGACGGACCAACGGCACCCAGTTTGGTCGTCAGTGACTTCATTTCCCGCTGCCCAGTCAACTTCTTTCCACCTCGATCCTTGCGCCGCCCTACACCTGGTAGACTGAGCAAGGCCCTCCAAGGTAAGCGGTGACCAGGCATAGGTAGTACGTGCCCGAGCCAACACAACTTATTCAGTGCTATTTGTGGTTCTAGGGTGCTAGCATGAATATCATTATCTAGTACTGGCCCACACACATCATCGTTGCGGACACGCTGGTGTCATCCGACACCAACAATGCTTTGCAGACAACGATGATCAAAGACTTGAAGGCACCTCAGATCTTCAGACCGAAAGGGCCAAGTATCACTACCATAGAGCAGAACGGCCCTCACTGTGGCCTTGTATACCCGACCTTTCAGGCGGAGGGAAACTCGCTTCTGTCGCTAATGATGCCGCAGGTTCAAGAAGGCAGCTCTGGTCTCTGCAATGCGTGAACTGACGTCAATTTCCATGCAGCCATCATTGCTGATGCAGCTGCCAAGATAAGGGAATTGATCAACCACGTCAAGTTCCTCGTTAGCCAGGGGTCAAGGGGTCATAAAGTGGATAATGGTTCTGTAGCAGAACTTTGCACTTTCAAGGTGCGAAGCACATACCAATTAATGTGACCACTCTAGACAGGCTATTCACTGTTGATTGTGCGGCCGCAGCGTCGTCGAAAAGCAAGACGATATCGTCCGCATAATCTAGATCAACTAACCTTTCACCAGGCAGCACTTCTAAGCCTACATCGTGAGATTCCCCAAGTGAACACTCCATGATAGAATCCACGACGAAATTGAACAGAAATGGGGAAATCGGACAACCCTGACGAACGCCACTTGTGGTCGGAAAGCTATCCGATAGAGAACCGTAGACCCTGACGTGGCCTGTAGTGTTCGAGTATAGAGCACGAAGGATGTTCACATATTTCGTGGGAACACCTTTCCGCGCAAGTATTGCGAACAGAATCGATCGATTGACCGAATCAAACGCACTCTTGAAATCGAGGAACACAGCTATTGTCGATCTGCGGTATGCGTGGCGTTGCTCTAACACCTGCCGCAAAATAAATTTATGGTCTGTACAGTCACGTCCTGGGCGGAAACCTGCCTGCACTTCCCTAATCCGAGATTCCCGTTCCACAGTGAGGCGACGAACGAGAATCGAGACCAGTCATTTTGTCACAACTGGCGTTAGACTAATACCCATGTGGTTAGAACAGTCTGTGCGACTGCCCTTCTTGTATACTGCCACTATAATCGATTCCCTCCAACTAGCCAGGTACGTTTGAATTGGGAAGTCAGTGCTTTGCAGAGGACCACACCTACATTCTTAAATAGTGCAAGTGCGAGGAAATCAGGGCCAGCGGCACGAAAACGATTGAGGGCTGTGATCGCTTTTCGGACCTCAGCCTCCGATGGGGGCTCCATGCTTACCGTCCATGGTTCGTGCTGTATCACCTGAGTAGAAAGAGGTCCGGGAGCAGGGGGGCCAGCCGAACTGGTCTTAAAAGTGTTCCGCCCAACGAGCCATACGGCGCTCCTTATTGTGTATCAGTGCACCCGCGCTGTCTCTGCTTATCTCACTGACACCTGGTTTTTGGGCACCAGTGGTGCGGATTAGCTGGAAGACCTCGCGGTAATTGTCTACTGCTCCTGCCTCCTCCATTTCTTGAGCCCTACTGTTCCACTAGACTTCCTTGTCAGCACGTAGGCTCCGTTTTAGTTCGCGCCTAATAGCCCGTCTGGTCACATTGTACTCAGAGCCAGTCGGGAGGTTTCTTCTAGATTCCAACAGGTTCACTAACCTGTCCGATGTCCAGTGACTGGTACGGTGGTGATTGAAAGTGCCGCAAGCAGATGCTCCTGCGTCGTGCATGGCGGCCAAGGTCCTATTCCAATGAAGCTCAGTGTCATTAGAACAAGCCAGCGGAATTTC